CCCGGCTATTTTTTTGTTGCAGTTGTCATTGTTGCTTAGCTGGCCTGGGCTGGGTTCAAACTCGCCAGCCCCGGTATATATGATTGGCACCCTAACCACCGAGCTATGAGCACTGAGCCAGAATTCCAATTTTTTTAAGGTAATGTTTGCCTTGAATATGGTGTCATATTTCACCAATTAGTTTTGCAAGCATGGTGACATTTAATTCCTATAGCATCTTTTTAAACTGTTTTTTCTGATCTCAGACCCTCAAAAACGATAACAGTGGTTGATGTTGAAAATATGAGTTAAATATTTGATTGTATGGCATAAAAACTTAAACAAAATTGAACATCAGAAGCTCAGAGCTGGCCAGCCTTGATTTTTTTCTCTTTTTTTTTTGTAATGCTTGCTTGTACTTTTTAAGACATTTCATAATCTTATAAGTTTGCTTTACGCCACACAGAAGGGAAAATGAAGAAGAAGATCCAGTAAGTTCTTGGATCTGAGCCTACGACAAATAAGAGGAAAAAAACATTTGGATAGAGTACGTGAACACACAGAAAGTGATTCCTCTTTTCCTTCATCAAGATATTCTGGAATCCTAGAAGAAAGTGTGGGGAAAACTCTTGAAGATGTCAGCCTGGGGAAAGACATTATGAAGAAGACTTCTGTGGCAATTGCAAAAACAGCAAAAATTAACAAATGGGATTTGATGAAACTGAAACGTTTCTGTACAGCTAAGGAGACAACAATCAAAGCAAATAGCCTTCAGAATGGGAAAAGATATTTGCATGGTATGAATCACACAAAGGGTTGATAACTAGGATTTACAAAGAACATAAATTAATCAATGAAAAATGCCCAATAATCCCGTATATCACTGGGCAAGAGACATGAATAGAACCTTCTCTAAGGAAGACAGATGGATGGCTAACAAACATATGAAATAATGCTCATCATCCCTGATTATCAGAGAAATGCAAATCAAAACTACCCTGAGATTATCACCTAACCCCAGTGAGAATGGTCCACATCACAAAGTCTCAAAGCTGCAGAAGCTGGCGTGGATGTGGAGAGAAGGGGACACTTTTGCACTGCTGGTGGGACTGCAAACTAATACAGCCTAATTTGGAAGGAAGTATGGAGAACCCTCAAAGAACTCAAGCTAGACCTCCCATTGATCCTATAAACCCATTACTGGGCATCTACCCAGAAGAAGAAAAAAATCATTTTATCATAAGGATATTTGCACTAGACTGCTTATTGCAGCTCAGTTTACAATCGCCAAGATGTGGAAATAACCTAAATGCCACCGACCCAGGAATGGATTAACAAGCTGTGGTCTGTGTACACCATGGAATACTATTCAGTCTCTAAAAGAAGATGGAGACTTTACATCTTTTGTCTTAACCTGGATGGAGGTGGAACACATTCTTCTTAATAAAATATCACAAGAATGGAGAAGCAAGAATCCTATGTACTCAATTCTAATATGAAGGCAATAGATGAGCTAGTACACAGCCACGTAGGAGAAAAACTCAATTCAAGTCAACTTGGGGGGAGGAGGACAGGGGAGGGGAGAGAGAGAGAAGGCAGGGGGATTTGGGGTGCTCCCAGTGAATGGGCACAATGTAGGGGCCTATGACACAGCTGTGGGGTGCAGGACATAACTGCAAGAGAGACTTTACTTAACAGATTCAAATATTCTGATTTGGCTGTTTGCACTCTCATGTTAACCTGAAATTTAAAGAAAGGGGAGGAAGGAAGGAAGAGAGAGAAAGGAGAAAGAGAGAGAGAA